GGCGACCTTTGTCCGGCTCGGCTCTAGCTTTGGAGGCAGAGACGGAGGAATCGTCGTCGCGACGAGCCTTACGGCGGAGAGATTCCGCCTTGAGGGCGGACACGATGCGCGAGGAGGTAACCGCGTCCTCATTCATTAACGCCGATACGCAGGGGAGCCAATCGTCCGTTAGTGAAGTGAGGAGGGCGGTAGCATGTATGTCGTCGACGGTGAGAGGCTTCTCGGGCGTGACCAGAGAGCCGAGGCGTTCTGCGCAGACGGCCATCGAATCGATGTGCGAATCGATATTGTCGCCGGAGAGACGGGCGACGACGAGTTGTCGCAGCCAATGCATGCGACCACCAGAGGAGAAGTCTTGATGCGCCTGAGAGAGCGACATCCACATCGCTGCGGCATTCGTGCCATGGGAACGAACAAATCGGAGGTTGCTAGGGTGGATGGTCCTGGCAATGAAGGACGATACGGCGATGCTGTCGCTCGCCCAGGAGGCCGGGCGCGTCTTTTCCTTGGCGGCGGCAGTTCCTGCGGTAGTCCCGGCGGTGGTGGTGGAGTCGGATTCGAGGACGTAAGCTAACTTGAGCGATTGAAGGTGGAGGAGGACGACGAAACTCCAATCTAGGTAGTTGGAGTCCGCTCCTTGAGGTTTGAGTTGGACGATGCCCGATACCTTGAGATTGAGGGCATCGGAATCGGCGGTGGTTTGGGCTATGGACATAGCGTTGATCCGTCTGATGTCCGAGCAAAACAGGATCGATTCGGGCGCTTAAGAAAGGAAAAGCGGGACAAGGAAGACGAGTTTTGCGAGAGGGTCGAGATGAGCGATGCGAGTGTGATGCGAGTAAAAGCGAGCAGACTAAGCGTAAATGGGCCTCATAACCTGTTGAGATGGACCCTCTGGAGACAATGTGTTGGAAGGATAGGTGTCATTTCAACATAGAGAAAAGATGAAAGAAAAAGAAGAGAAAGAGAGAAAACATACCTGGAGACAATGTGTTGGAAGGATGAGGAAAGAGGAGTCCTACCACACACATATGAATCCAGTATAAGAGAGTGAAAGAAAACAAGTGCATGTCACAGAATGTGACATGTGTGAAATGAGATCAGGAAGAAAGCAGACTAACAACAGTGGACATGCACTAATCAGTGACATGTCACATGTATCTCAACAGCTTGTTCCATGTGCTGAAGGCCTATGGAGACACTGCAGCCCAATATCTGCACAAGTGGGCTGACAGGGCTATCAAGAATTTTCAGGAGCTCATTCATAAGGAACTGTCAGATCCTGAGGACAGCTATTGTTTTTTCCAGGCAAAATGGGACAATGTCAACCCAAAGTTTGCAAATTATGCACACAAACAGTGGTACAAGCATTATTTGAAGTGGGCAACATGTTTCCAACCAGTGAAGGAATTTTGACCAAAGACGGGGAGAAATTCAGAGAAAAACGTTTGGGCAACAAAAAACAAGCTTTGTTGGAGAGGGTTGGAAAAAGAGATAGAGAGAGAGCAAATATTTTTATTCACTGTTAGAGCCTACATCTTACATAGACTGCATACAGTGAGTTCAATCTGTTGTTTGAGAAAAGATGAATATCAAAATGAATAACACAAATTAATCATATGCTTGAAAGGATTACTGGAATAAATGAAAGTTGATAAAGACTAGACCAGGGTTCAAAGACTACAAGGATTTCAGCACTAGACAACATGACAAGATACCACACAGAAACCATCAAAAAAAAATAAAAATCATATGTATTACTTATCTGATCATGATTATTTTAAGGATAAGATAGATGGATTTTTTGGGGATGAGAAGAAAAGAGGCAAAATTCCAACAACCAGTAGGTTCAATTTGATTTCAATTCAACACACCTACTGTTGACCGGTTTACTCATACATCAATTGGTTTAAGTCTGATCATCAGGGCATACAAACTAAAAATCATGTAAAAGGTTGACATCAAGTCCTTAAGACAAAGTACCTCTCAACAAATGAACTAGTCTGAGATAACAAATTTGTCCAGATTTTCAAAAATGATGTCATACCAAATTACCAGATGACAGCAACACAAGTTCACAGGGGCATCAAGAAACAAACAGCTAACAAATTTCAATTGTGAGAATAGGGCTTGGGCAAGACTCTCACCCAAGCCCTATTCTCACATTTCAAATTTGAGAGTTTTAAAAAGGATCTTTTAATAAGAGTGTCAGGAGTACAAATCATCAAATGCCAAAATTGTGTGTTTACATCTCTGCTCTGTTACTTGCCTTTTACTTTTACTAACTGTGGCTTTCCTTTTTGCAGTTTTGATGCGACTCATTTTCTTTCTGAACATCAGCCACTTACCTGATCTTCTTTTGACTGCAGTTAAACCGTTGCAAGTACCAACTCACCTGCTGCACTTGTGACCATTTTGCTTGGCACACAAGTGGATGCAAGCATATGTTTTTTTTGAAAAAAGAGGTTCAGTGGTTATTCATTGAGATGGTTTCTGTGGGCCTACTAGTCAATGCTGTGCCACAAATGGGGCCAGAAACCATGCTGATTGGCAAGGTCAAGTTCATAGACAGTCAAAGTGATGACAATCCTCCGCCTGTTGAAGGAAACAAGGATGAATTGAACCTGAAATTCATGCTGGAATCAAGAGTGTGTGTGGTACAAAAGTCAATACAAGTGCTCAAGTTTGTTGCAAAACACTGGGTGATGCAAATTCACAGCTCTATGATTGCTGGAAATAGATTGAAAGAGTGATGTGAATCAGTTTGTTTGTTTGTGGATTAAAGATGTAAAGGTGTGTCAGTCACTCACCCTAGTACAATTTTGGAGGTCCCTCAGACTGGCAGCATGGGTGGGGCCAAAATCAAAGCACTGTTTGGCTCAATTGTCAATGAGATTTGGGATTGTGTCAAGTGGACATGCAACCTTGTAACAAAGATGTGTGAAGGAATCGCTCTCCTGAATCAATGGGTGCTTTCAAGGAGGCTTGCTGGGGGGGATTCATGAGACAATCAAAGAAGTTTTTTGACAGCCTGAAGGGAGACAAGATGGATAAATTTGTGGGGTTACTTGGTTAAGATAGCAATGAACAACACAAAGGAAAACAGTCCAGGTGAGTAGGGGCGTAGTTGATCAAGTGAGGTGGTAGGGTGATGTCTATTTACATTGCAAGCAGTCCTCATGAAGAGATGCTACTCACCATTCAAATTCACCTTTTTTGTTTCTCATGAATTTTGTGGCTCATTTTCATGCTTACACATCATTCCTACTTTCTCTCTTTTTGCGGGCGTCATTTCTTGTGTTGCCTTGGCCACTCATGACAATCCCTTTTGTTGTTCTTGCTCATCACTTTCATTTTTTTTGTCAAATTTTGTTGCTCATTGTTATGGATGTACTACTGCCAATGCCATTCCTTTAACTTGAAGACATTTCATTGTTGGTCATCCGTATGTAGGTACTACTGTCAATGTCACTTCTTTAATTTGACAATGTTTCATTTTTTTAATGGTGACTATGGACTTATAATGGGACCATTGCTACAAAATCTCTAATCAGCTGGTGCTTACATTCATTTTTGCTAATTATTAACAAATGAATGTATTGTTACTCTGGGAAACACCACGGGGGCACCCAGGCGTCTCAAACCAATTGGATGGGAGACACCTTTTTTCATCAAGATTGGCCAACCATCAGCAGAAGCCAGTTGTCAGAATAATAGTGAAGAATTTCAATGTTAGATCCCTCCATGTACTTGTACAATTCGGTGTAGAAGGCAGAAAGAATGCCCATTTTTCAAAATTGAATCCCATGGGACTGGCCCTAATTGACGTAGTGTCAGGACGTCTGTTCGAATTCTCAAGGAAAATATTCAAGTCTAAAATGTAACCTCGACTGCCACCAAAGACTCATAGTCTTGAGAGAAGTTGTAACGACGCAGCGGGTACATGCTTGGTAAGTGAAAATGTCTCTCGTTTCTCAAAAAAAAAGTGATTTGCTGGGTCAAAGTAGACATTGAGCGTTGCAGGGAGGAAGCACGGAAGGATTCGGGCACAAACGCATAGGAACATCATCAGTTGAGGAGTCCTGATGGAAATAGAGACTGGTTGCAGGGAGATGAACAAGACATAACGGGGTACAAGGCAGATGAAAAGAGAGGAAGAGTTTTTTTGGGGGTTTTTTTTTGGGCTTTGAAATGCTGAATGAGTAGGACGACAGATCGAATGCTCGAAGTCGAAGGATCGGGGTTTACAGTGCGAGGAGGGAGAGACTGGGTGGAGGCAATTGCAGTCGATTCTGTTTAGATGGGTGATCACGGAGGCCCGATGAAGTTAGCTGAGACGCACA